AAACGTGTTTCAGTGAAGTGACTGTTATGCCGACGGATGGTTGCGCCAAGTCTTGTAAGATTGTATTCGGTAAACACCTAGTCTTGTGCGCTGAGTGATCTTAGAACTTTCTTCTTTGCTGGAGAGGTGTGCGCAGTCCTTTTTTTTTGAATTTACGGTTTCTGTATAAACCACAGGCTACGGTCATTTCTGAAGATAAGTTAATTTTTGTTCCGCAGCACTGTAGCTGTATTCAAAAACAAAACTAAATTCAAGCATTCTCAAAAGAAATGCATTGCGGTGCACCACGAATTGCATATGCGACACGCTTCAGCAATCAGCGACTATGTAATTCGTGCAAAAAAGATTAATAAATGGTCCACACATGAATGCATATGGGCATTGGTTTTCGTTCGCATTCGAATGCTCACGAACGAAGCTGTTTTATACATTTCCCCAATCTTAAATAGCTCACCGTATATGACCTTCGGTGGTCACTTGATGAAGGTAGGTAAACAATATTATTTGGAACAACCCTCCGTGGTCGTGGTACTAGACGACGTTTACTCAATCAGGGCTAGCTCCGCCTTCCCTCTTTCGTTCTTCTCTTTGTATACGTCCGTCGCGCCTCCCCCCAAGCCCATGCCCCACTTTATTTTCGAAGGGAAAGGGAACGCATGACTATCTGTTCTGTCGCTTACAACACGTGCAACGTCTGTACCGGTCGGTGGTCCACCCCGTGGTCAGTTGTCAACCGCACTAAGCAGGTTTTGACCTATTAGTCTCGTCCGTGATGCAGTCACGTTCTTCGGACAAGTGTTCTCGTACAGTCATCACATCTGTGATACCAGTCTCCGATGAAGCCTGACGTAAATGATGCTCGCTTCCATCTCTGTCATTTCCATCTCGGTGTGGCGTTGTTGGTGCACTCCGCGCTTAGGTTCTCCAGTAGATGGTTTATACTGCAGCGTTTTGCAGTCTTCTCCACGAATTTCCTGGATGCTTGCGCCCACGTTTCCTGCCGTAGCCCGAGCCCTGTGCTTCTCCCGATTCCGTAGGAATATGCTTGCTGCAACGCTTGAGCGGTTGGTTTGTGCGGGGGCGGTTCAGCTGCGGCTCCTTTTTCAGGACCCGCCACTTCACTTTCAAAGGCAGAAGTAGCCTTTTCACCATCGCTTTTAGGCGACCATTCCCTTGTTTTGTTGCATCATCGTCTGGTACCGCGCGGCTGATTGGAATGAGTTAAGTTCTGACGTCTCACCTGCGCATCAAACAATGAGGACACGAAAGGATACAAGGTAGGACTGCTCGCTCCACCGACCAGGTTATCAAATTGTTCATTCTTGATAGTTGTCAAACTGTCAGCAGGTTTCTTGGCACTCATCACTTGGCTAGTGACAGCAACGTGTTCATCATGGTCGATCTTTTCACAAATGCCACAGCTGCCATCATCTGTTCGACTTCCTTTTGGTTTTTCAAGTTTGGCAATCGCTTCATTTTTTTTATTTTGATGATTTTTTGTAATCATAGGAAGGTTTTGGGACGTTGAAACCCATATATCAATCACTCAATAATCTTTTTTTTGTTTCTCGGTTCTTCCTTCAACTTCAGAGTACTGCCAGAATCCTCCAATGACTGTTCCGCTCCTGTCTTATTCACAGCGTCAAACGTTTGCTGGGGAGTATTTTCCGTGAACGTTAGTGTTGTTGTTTTTTTGCCAAAAGTGGCCAGAAGCATCTAATTCTGCAGTAACTAGTCAACGCTGTCGCACGCCGTCACGCCTAATGCTGTGTTAGTTCCTTCCACTTTAATCGAACTGTTTTCATATACTTCCAGGCCTGCAGACAGACTGCTTGCGTTTGCAAAATATGAGCCTTCGTAACATGTCGTGGCTTCTCCGTTGTCTTCGAAGTTGCATTCATAAGCATTGGCGTATTTAAAGAAACCAGGTCGCTCATAGGTTTTGCTGGCATCTCTGAAGTAATCAAGAGGCTAATAGCACGTGCCACTTATGTAAAGATACTTTCCGCGCACAGTCGGGAAAAACTGCCCCTCAGCGATCGCATACATGATCTTCTCATGGTAGCGTGCAGCATCCTCGAGTTCTTCGTCAACTGCCTCATCTTTAGTTACGTCGAGGATCTGCTTGTCCAAGTGGCGGAGCTCAGCTTCCCTAGTGATCAAAACTGCGACTTGCTTGTTAACCTCGCGTACCTCGGTGTCGGAATCCGGCAGTAGTCCTGACCGTAGCGTAATATTTTGTGATACGCTGGCGCTGACAGTCCCACGCACTTTTCGAAGATTCTAGACTGACATCGTAGTCCCGGAACGACCACTCCCGGGTTTCACGGCAACCAATGATAATAACGAGGACCCGTGATCGTAGAGCTGGACACCTTTTTACTGATGATGATTATGCTCATTAGATCATTGGAACTGAACAAAGGGTTCGCTCCGAAACCCAAGTCGTTGTTCTTTCCGTTTCATCGTTGTCCCGGCCACCAAGACTATCTTCCTCCTCCACTAGTCTATTTTTCACAAGTGTATATCAGCTTCAGCTGCCTGCACCATGTAAGAAATTTAGAGAAATAACAACTATGTACCCCGTGCTTTTTTGTATTACTGCAACAAATCGGTGGGCGAAAGAATCTTCATAATGGCAACGTATTAGTTCATTGTTTCTTGCACATATATGGATGTCGCGAATGTTAGCTGTCTTTCTATTAGTTTCCCATGACACTATTTCTGCAGAAATTTGTGAGTTCACGAATTTTTGAAAAGTGCTTTAATGAACTTTCATTATCTGATTTACCGCGGAGACTAAACTTGCAACTTTTAACAATAGCAGAGCTACGAAGGATATAATGACCAATAAGTTACCTAAGCAAACGCCTTTTCAACCACTGTTTTCGGAACAACCAAACTACTCTAAAGCACTTACTGCTATTTCGCAACCGACATTTCTATTGCATCAAAGAAATGTTGAAATGGTCCACCCATTAAGGTTTGATTCAAACTCTGATATATTGTGGGAACATTCTGATCAAAGCAGACGTATGTCGTTGTCGCTGGAATCGCGTGAGCTCTTCGACTGTACAGTTACTGCCTTGCTCATGGCGTTGATTTCGCTATAGCTGGCGACAACGTGCTCTAGTAGCGCAGTCAAGACTACGTGAGAGCAGCTCTGGCGCATGTGATAGTATCACACGAAAGAGTTCATTTGCTAACAGTCTGTAAATACTTCGCAAACGCACCGCTGTCTTCGTTACTTTCACTCCGGTAAATATAGATCAACTAATGAACACCTGCTCATTCATGCTCACAAGGTTTGATTAAAGTGTACTGCACTTCGACATTCACATGCTCCAACCGAGTGACGCCATCGTCGCCTAAAGAGGCACCAACATGTGAAACCAAATACGGCAACCCTGGAAAATCGAAACAGAAAAAAAACGAATATTCGTCATGGGATAAACTTTCTTACTACAAAAAATATTGAACGCACCACATGTTTCTTTTCTTTTTATGAGTTGTTTCACGCCACGCCATCTACAAAAGTTATCCTTCGCGGCCTGCATGCCGCGTTGCAAAAAAGTGCGTGCTTCGGATCCGTAGCCTTGCTGTGCTGCCAAAGTTGTCACCAGGTGCAGTTTTGCGTTGCTGCCTGCTTTGCTTTTGTCTACGCTTTCCTGTCCCTTGAAAACGTGCTGCGCTTTTTTTGTAAAGTATCTCCAGCAGTCCCCATGTGCTGAAATATAGCCGCGGAACTAAATTTCTCTATCTAGGAATCTTTGTCCGGATTTCAGTCACTATGGAAAACAGTATTATTATGGTATGTAATCCTGACGCTTAATCCGGTTATGAAATAACCCATATCTGCAATATCGGAAATAGGTTTTTTTTTAAACGGCAGCCTCAGCGGACATATTATTAAATTCCCCCCGCATCTATTTTCTTTAGTACTCGGCCCGTGCAGGATTAAATTTCGAGACGACGGCCCGCCAGCTGAGGGGAGCTTGAGGCCCTTGCCCCCTAGCGTTCACTTTCGTCCGAGCTCTACTAACGGTTGCTTAAAGTACTATCAAGTTCTCTCTATATAACAATTTTAACTGGACGCCTGCTACCCAGTCACTGACACTAGAATTCATCACTGTTGGCCGAGATGCCTATCCGGATTATTAATCCTACCTTATCATAGAGGACAGAATTTCGACCAATAATGGTGATCTTGGGCTGGGCGCGTGATAGAACCAGACCGCGATAGTTGACGGCCCAGCTGTAAATCTGCCAAACATGCATAAGAATGAGATAGATGGAGGCTGCGGACTAGTCAAGACGCCTCTAGGCGGTTTTTTTCCCTGTGTCCTCCATCTATGTCTATATGGTCGAAAAAAAAATGGGAGTTGATTTAATTTCCAGAACACTTCTGAAAAAAAATGATCTCAGCGCGTCTCGCACACCTGTTCAGCCCTGGTTATAGTGCCACTGTGGCTACTATTCCGTATGTTCTGAGCCTGGATCACTGCTTGCCTATTAACAGTCAAAGTGTTCTGCGTCACAAAGTTTTGAGGCCTCTTCGCAGGCCGGAGTGCCGGTAATGGCCTTGTTTATGACTTTGCACAAAACGCGACCGTTTTACCTCTCACAAGGCTTCACCCAAGAGCCTCATTTAAAGCGAGTATAGACAGCATGGGCGTTCATTTTTTACTGCTATCCTGCTTCTTCTGCGCCTTTTCATCGTCCGTCACGATGCTGAACCTCCTCACCGCCGTTCCCGCCTTCTCGGAAGAACACAAAATGCCTTGCGTGTAGGTATGCCTCTCAGGGCTGCGACGACCTCCCCTGAAGCTGCGTGTGCCCCTCCTCCTCTTTCACTTCCCCAAGTGACCTCCTCGGACAAATGACCTTGGCGGGGATCGGAGCGCGCCAACTCGTGCAAATGGCGACGAGCTTCGGGGCGTCCCTCTCCACCTGGAACGCAGTCTCGGCGGAGGAGGCGCCATTCCGGCCCGGAGGGTCAAGCGGGAAGTGCATGTGGACGATCCCTCGCCGCAGTTGTTGTTCCGAGGTGCGTGCCGCGATCTTGGAGCAGACTCGCGGCCGCCGCAGGTGCCAATGAACGGGTTGTGTTCGTGATGCCCAGCGGCCGTGAGTAGATGATGGAGAGGAGGACAGAGCAGAAGCCGTGCCTCTCCTCATCTGTCTCTGGCCTTTTCAGTTGTTTTCTCGTGTACGGGTGAACCAAATCGAGCGACAACGCCATCGCTCTCCAAAGAATACCTTCCACCACGCGAGGCCTGTTCTTACACCGAGCATCCGCACTGTGCTGCATGGAATCGCTGAGTGCGTCGATCCCTTTATCCCCTCGGATACGTGCCATCCACAGCATCCACGGGAGAAACAGCGCGGCTACGTGACGGCGCTACGCCATAACATTCTGACCGCTAACTGAAGGTTGGTTTCTAAAGTATTACATTGCATTATCTGCCATCAATAATTACAGTGTTGAAGCTACTGTCGCAGCTCTATGAATGTTTGCAGCTCAGAATAGGTTTCCAGACATGCACCTAACGCTGTAACCGTGCCAGTCAAGACTTGTCCACACGAGCTTATAATTTTGTGCACATTCCAAGCAATTTGCAGTGCATGTGTTAGTAACCTGTGAGGTTAGCCCTTGGCTTTGAGACCCCTTATTATGACAGCGTCTATTTGGTGCTTCTTGGGTTACAAGCATTCACTGTTACGTCTGTGTATAATTTATTTATTTTGTTTTATTTATTTTAATAATAGTGTCAGCCCTCTCTTGAGGGCTCTTACAGGGAGGGTAGAACCAAATACAAAACAACCAATGTACATCTATGTGCGGTAGTAGCGTAATAAATTAATACATATGTAACTCATTTCAAATTTGCAAACACTACATGCATTTACAGCAATGCCTGGCTACGCAATATAAACAAAACTGGGAAAACAAAAACCAAGAAAATCAAACCAAGGAAACATGCAGGCTAATCATCTGGCAGCTACATCACTCAAGTACATGTCCAACAATTTTTCAAATTGGCAAATATCTCTTGCATTTACTACAATGCCTGGCAACGCATTCCAAAGCTCAACCGCAGCTGGAAAAAAAAAATAACGAAACACATCACTCTGAAAAGAGTACGGTACTAAAACAAAGTCGTGATCAACCCTACTGCTTTGTTTCTCTGGCACTTTTAAGTACAAATATTTGTTAATTTTTAGTTGTCCTTGCAGTATCCTTAAAACAGCCTTAAACCAGTTCTTTTGTCTTCGTTCCTCAAGTAATTTCAGTTGACAGCACTCCAACCCATGATCCAACACTGGCCAGTTATTCCGCCCATTGGTCAGTTACTTGTAGTTTATCTGCACCTTTGGCGGTGGTGTTGTGCTGGTGCGTTTGCGGAGCATCCAATCAGATTGGAAACAACTTTTTCTCTTGGTGCGTATCCGAGTGATGAAAGATGGTACTACTTTGAAAATAAATATAGCTGTTTTGAAGCAACCACCAGCGTAGAAGAAATAGGTTACACACCCAAAAGGCACAGACATATTACCGACGCACACAAATATTTTGAAAAAAGAAATTACTATTTACAGTTTGATTCACAGAAAAGTGCTGGGCTCTGTGAGCGTAGTTCTGCGATCACTTAGGACCAGAACGGCTGCGGCAGACTCGGCACCCAGTTGTCCCTAGAGTTAGCCTGAAGCCATTGCTCGCGGCAATTAATCTCCACTAGAATTTCCTGAAACGATGCTCCAGCTGAGTGCGCGATGCTTCATTCTCGGCTTACATTTCAGCACGCATCAATAAGCCATGATTAGTGCACTCTTTTATAGACACAGTCGCGAATGACTCCCATTTAGATACGCAGGAACTGCTAGCGTGAATTACTGGCATTGAAGACGCCAAGTGCGGTGATGAAGTACGTCTGCCTACTGAAAATGACGCGATTTTTGTCACGTCTGCTTTCATTTTATTGCGACGTCGGCAGTACCCAACAGATAAGTGTTGCAAAAGTTTAATAACTTGTATTACAGCATTTCTTCCTACAAATCGATGTTTTGGTTTTTATTCCAACATTCGATGTTATGCGAAGCACGAATGAGAGAGGTTAATTGATATGTCACTTTAAAGTCAGCGCAACGTTATGAGGTAGAAATAAATAATGCCGTACTTGGCTTCCGTGTTATGATTCTCATGTTTGGATGTTTCGTTTAACTTCATCTATTCACGTCACGTGATACAATATTTAGTATATGTGGAGCTAGCGAAACGACCGCGAGCACGCTGTGAGCATGGTATGTTGTCACGCAGCGCGGCGCACACCTGGGAGTATACGACAGGATCGGTGCCTGGCGTGGCAACGTCGGCGTGACCCGACGAAATGAACTCCGGTGAGCATGCGCACCGCCTCACGTCGAAATGTATTGGCGCCTTGACTGGGGCATGTAGTCATGTTCTCACGTGACACGCATCTCTTCGTTATAATGTTTCCACCGATCACATACCTTTGTCATCCAGTGACGTCATGTAGTACCTAATTTGGCATATGTAAAGCAAGCGAATCGGCCGTGACCGCATCAAAAGTGTGGCATGTAGTCATGTTGTTACATGACAAGCATGTCGTGATTATCACATTTGTATGTGTCATTTACCTATTACGTCCGTTTGCGTCGCGTAATACCGAGTTTGGTGCATGTGAAGCTACATGCCACCGAGTTTGGTGCAACATGGCTACATGCCACGCTCATGATGCCAGCGCATCATGAGTGTGGCATGTAGCCATGTTGTTACATTACACGCATCTCATAATTATCATGTTTGCACCAGTCACATGCCTTCGTCATCCATTCACATATCGTAATAGCAAATTTGGTATATGTGACGCTAGCAAAACACCAGCGAGTGCATCATGAGCCTGACATGAAGTAATGTTGCTACATGCCACCGATGCCATAAGTTTCATGTTAGGGTCTGTCGCTTGTGCACGCCATGCAATCATGTAATACCATACGAGTTCTGCAACATGCCGTGTGAACAAAACCACCGCAAGAGCTGCAGGACCATGAAATGTAAGTCATGACATTCATGACACCCATGTCGTGATTTTCATGTTATGAAGAGTCAAATATGTTCTTCATACAGTCATGTTATGCCATACCAAGATTGGTATCAATACCATTATCGAAACGGCCAGGAGAGCGAAAAGTCCTAGGTGGCTAGAGATAGATAGATAGATAGATAGATAGATAGATAGATAGATAGATAGATAGATAGATAGATAGATAGATAGATAGATACGCGCAAATAGATACGCGCCAAAGTTCGCTAAGAAATGCTTCGCATTTATCAGAAAAGGTGTCAAAGAACCTCTCACCTGGGCGGCTGCACCGCGCGCGTTTACCGTAGCCGCCAATGTCGTCTGCTCCGCGACAATTCCTTGGCTACGCCTAGCACTTCCGAAACAGTAACAAGTGTTGTGGGAATCTCGGAGGCAGCATCACGTGGTCTCTGTTGCAGGCATTCACCGTACGCAGCACTGGTTGCCTGTCCACTGAAGGTGCTGAACCGGGTTACCTGACCACGCGCCAGGGATCTCCTCTCTTCTCCACATCTTTAATGCCCTGAAACCACCCCTACAGGCAATTAGCCTAGCTCCTAATTAGGGCTGCAGAAGAGATGTTTCCTTTCCTCAACCTTTCTCTCTCTGTAGTAACGAAGGAATTCACGAGAGTTTGATACCGGTGGCCAGGACCAGTGAACTATAGTCCGAATTATTTTACCACTTGATGAAATACCGAGGACCAATTGAACGAGCTTTTATTGTATTTGAAGATAGATATTACTTATAAAAACGCATAAGCCAATGGGCGCTGAATAAATAATGTGGACGGCTACTTTGTTTTAACCTTTGTTTCTACAAAACGTGAACATAATAAGTTTTTGCGTCTATTAAAAAGAACTCGTCTCCGTTTTTAGTTGAACTCACAGGACCCTAACAAAAAACTTGCGCGGCCACTTCTGCCATGACATGAAACATTCAGTACAGGTGCAGCAAAGTGAGGGCACGGACGTAGGAAAGGGAAACCTAATTTTAAGGCATGTGCTCTGCCATAAAACAAGCGACCCCACTTTTCTGTTTTTACGTGTGACCTAAACACGACAGCTGCTATTTTCAGGTTGCATTCTTGGGAAACGTGTCGAACAACGAAATTTTCTTAACAATGTGAAGCGCTGTTCTGTCGGGCAAGGAATGCACTGTGTTCGGGACAGTCGCAAACACGACCTTACTTTGCAGCCATGTCGATCAGATCCAAAAGCAATGGTTGCGCACCTTCAGAGACCTCTGGGACAACGAAGGCTGAGTTGGGGAGAACTTCGCGAAATGAGCGCTCCACTATGCCATGGTATGGGCCGGACAGCCGACACAGCTGGATTACGGCCGGTGAGTTTATTTATACATTTATTATTCAATTTCACATATTTCAGGCTGTATACAGGACTATTACAGGAGGGGGCACAGGGAAAGGAATAACAAAAACCGAAAACATGCGGTATAAAAAGAAATACAGGTCAGAAAAATGCAAAAAGAATTGCATCGACGGAATTACATAAACAGTATCAAAGAAGAAGCGGGGATCAGGGTACACTGTCCTTTAGTGCCTTCAGTAAGTGATGGTTTTGAAAACAAAAAAAAAATGACCTGGTATGCTTCTCCATGTTTCAACACATCGTATCCATGCACGCCTGAAAGTTTTGGAAACACGGAAGTGACGCATTTTGAACCTTTCGGCAGTCTATAATCTTACACGTCGTATCAAAGGGGAAGAATAAGCATCCAACTCTTGCGACTTTTGTTCAACTTAACTGCAAGGAATTATATTTTTGGACTAGCGATTGAGTTGTGGTGGTTCTACCTCGCATTGCCACCTCACCGGTCTGCTACCTACGAATGTGCTCTTAATTGTGTTACTTTTGCGGTTTGCTTTCTGCGTCTTTATCCTAGTGATACTAAATTGCAGTGAAAATTATTCAATTGTTAGTATTTTTTAATACCTGCGGGCATTCAAACCGAGTGTAGTATTGGGGGAACATCTGAATAGAACCTAAAAATAGAAGTGGTTTAAAAGAAGTCACTAGCCACAATTCTAGTACTGCACCATTTAGGATTTACATAATAATAAATGAATAGGGACTCCTGTGATTAAAAACAAACTAGGGAAGGGACGTTTTCATGCTCAGACGTCGCATTCACCATTAGGTCAAAGGCAATAACTAAAATGTCCATATATTGGTTCTACCTAGTAATACTCTTTTCTGCACCCTTCACCACATTACGCTATTGGCACAAAGGGCCTTTAGAAAGTACTTGTAAGTGCCCCCATGACGCAAACGTACAACAGTTTTCTGTGCAAGAGATTTTTATTTCTTAAAAAAAATACGCCTGGCCTGCGCGGAAGGCACGGCATATGTCACAGCGAAGGCTAGAATAGCGCCCTTTCAGAGCACTTTATAATCACTCTTTGGGTAGCTGCTGCAAGCACACTTGCTTGATGCCCACTATGGCGTAAATAAAAATTTTAGAATAGTAGGCTGGCATCTGCCATGCTATCCTTCGTTATTCTTCGGAGAAGCGTGGTATCCGCTAAACACTTGGAAGGAACTTTGTGTCAATCGTCCATGCAGTGGCTGATGACGATGAGGACCAATGCCTGGAGTGGGTGTTCGCCACAGTTACTAACTAAACAAAAACAAGCTTTTGCAATGGGTCGGAGCATTGAACGACACACTCGTTACGTTATTCGCATTCTGACATGATTGGTTGTTCTTTCGCTCTTTTAAAACGCTTTATAAGTCGTATTAACGTGATTGCTTTTCCGACATCAAGCCTGCCTTATGCAAGTATGCCAACAGGTCCATAGCACCTCGAACACGCCAACGTTGGTCAGGTTGTTCTTAAAGGCGTTAAACTATGCTATAATGAATGCTCAACTCGTCTGGTATTTAATGGTCAACTCTCCAAGCCTGTTTCTATTCGCTCTTCTGTAAAACAGGGACGCCCGATGTCACCTCTCCTATTTGCACTTTATCTAGAACCACTGTGCTTAAGCATGATACAGTCGAGTTGCATTCAAGGCTTCAGTATATTAGGCAGTGAGGTTAAAGTATTAGCTTATGCAGATGTTGTCACATTCTTTTGCGCAGATAAACCAAGTGTCAAAAGTGTGGTATATACTATTGAAAAGTTTGGCGTAGTATCAGGAGCTCGTTTAAATGCCTCTAAAAGTTTAGGACTGTGGTTTGGCTTGTGGGGTAGCACACCGAACCGCTTTGCAGGGATTATTTGGAGAAGAACTTCTCCAACATACCTCGGTGTACCATTGCATGCATATAGATTCAGTGCACATTACTGGAAGGAACGCTTCTAAGCTTGAACGACAGGCCCAGACATTTGTTCCCTATCGACTTTCAATCTTTGGGAGAGCTGAAGCTTGCACTACTTTTTTAGCAACAAAGCTTTACTATGTATTGCAACTTTATTCATTGTGCAAGACTTTATATACAACGCTTTCATCGGATTTTCGCAACTTTCATACGGTCTTCGACTTTTGAGCCCATGCGTCGTGATAATATATTCAAGCCAGTTAGTGAGGGTGGATTAGGATTAAAACACGTTTATCTACGGCAAACAGTGTCAAGATTCTGCTTTTTTCGAGACAATTCTCATCCTGTAATACGTTCTTTCTTGCAGGTTACACTTGTTGATTACTTACCAGATTTAATTGTTTCAGCAAACTTCTCCAAACGCCCATGCTTGTGGGGATTCATGCAGGAATTTTCCTCGCAGTTTAGTTTCTTAAAGCTCGCTTTTCTGTAGAATACCTGTACACAGTATCGCGCGAGGTGCTGTATAGGGATCTACTGAGTACAGTCTTCCCACCTCCGTTGTACCACTCACTGTACTCCAATCTTCCAGGCCTCGATGTGTTGAAGCGAGTGCGCGAAATGTACATTCCACCGATTTCAAAAACATTCTTCTATAAACTCCACTCGGAAACATTGGCGGTAAATACATGGTTAAAAAGAAAGGGTATTTCCATTCCGTCTGTTAACTGCCGTCTATGTAATGTGCCGGAAACGATTGAACATTGCTTTGTTAGCTGCAAAGATGTCATACTGTTTTGGGATGTGCTTCAGCGAGCACTAAAAAAATGCTTGGTCTTTAATTCTCACACGATACGTTATTTTCTACCAGCAGTGCTTGATGATGTATCATATGACATGTTTTTCCTCTTGAGTATGCACAGCTTGTGGAAGACACGAATGCAAGACCGCAATGCAGAGCCCACCACCTCATCAAGCACACACTGCATTCAAATGGCTATCCACCTTAAAAACATTTACGACGAGCTAGACTTTAGACCGGACTGGTACCCCATCTTAGAAAACTGTTTGACCTCACCCCTTTTTTGTTTGCATAACAGGATGTGAAGAAGTCTCCATGTGAGGGATTCAGGCCATGTTAGCCATTGAGTGTTTATGAGTAACGCTTGAGCGCTTATTTTCGCGATTTGATTGTACTTTTGTTCGCTTGATTTGTCTTTATTGCGTAAATACTTTATTAAACACCACGAAACAAAAGCACCGGCGTTGCACAGTGATAGAACGCTGGGCTCGCACCCAGTGGACCTGGGTTCGAGCCTCACGGTGTCATTGGTGATAAGTTGTTTTTTTTCTAATTTCGCACGATGTGGTTACGGACACCGGCGGTGGCGGCGGCGGACAACTACGGCACTGCTCGTGAACCGAGTTGCGCGTGACCTGAGTTGTCAGAAGAAGCAATGGTCATGGGCAGGACACGTAGCGTAAAGCAAGATAACCGCTGGTCATTAGCGATCGCAGACTGGGTTCTAAAGAAGAGGAGCCGATGAGATTAGGAAGTTCGCGGGTGTAAAGTCACAGAAGCAAGCACAGGGCCGAGTGGACTGGCGGAACACGGCAGAGGCCTTTGCCCTGCAGTGGGTGAGTCAGGCTGATGATGAAGATGATGAGTAGATGATGAGGGTACACGAGAGGTTGCGCATTGTCTAATGGTGTTTGGCCTATAAAACAGTGTTTGGTTGGAAGCGACGGTCTTAGTTAACTTGGTGTTAACTAGCATGGCTTTAAAGAGAAACTCCGGCATTTTATCAATATTAACATATTTCAATAACACTTTGAACATGTCTTCTCGTCGTTACTGTGGGGATATGTGCAAATATACAAGCGTAAGTTATTTAGTTATTTAGAAAACAGATTTTAAAATATGGTAGCCGAGTCTGGAATCACACTTGTAAACGCGGGTGGCCCTGTGTATGTGACGTAATCGCATACTCTTTTTCAAAAGCCCGTTTTTCTGAGCAGACGGATGCAGCGCGCGCTTTCTTTTACAAGGCGACGACAACGTGAGCACAGTTCAGTTTTGTCAGCTGGACGTGCACAGCGTGATAGCGGTGGTTAGGCCTGGTCTTAGATTATTCAGCAACGAGGAAACCGGTTTGGAACATGCTTCACGCCTGGTTGAAATCAAACAGCGATGTTTCTGATGGTACCTTTGGTTATCGCTCAACTTGTCAGTGCACATGGTAAGTTCAGACGAGCTGACACAGCTTTATTCCACGTCGGATTACATCGCCAACGAGACTTTCGCGTTTTAGAAGAGACACGTGAGCTATGTTTACCCCCAAGCCAGCCATGGCGGGTGGTAGTGGATCTCGTGACGTCATTGGCGACGGATTCTCGTGACGTCATCTGATACCCACAATAGACGAGAGAGCAGCTTCCGGTTTTGGTTTCTGTTTTGATACGTCGTTTATTACTGAATTAAAATGATTGACGAGTGCGTGTACAACATGAACCACCCTAGCTTTTGCAAGACCCTCTATACCCTTTGAAATCAGCATTATCTCAGTACGGTGGAAAATGCACCGGAGTTCTTCTTTAACTGCATCCAAAGCTGGGCAATTGGCGCAGCAGACGAAGAGAGCGCGTGCCATTCTATGATGAATATTGTTCCCTGTTGACACTGAATGACATAAAGTCAAGCTTCGGTTCGCCCCATAACGCACTAAAGATTACTGGTCATGACGCAAAGTAGCCCGACTAATTAACAAAAAAAAAACGCCAGGCCTGAGCAAAAGACGCAGCACATGTCACAGCGAAAGCTAGAAGAGCGGCCTTTCAGAGCCGTTTCAAAACACTTATTGGGTAACTACAGCAAGCACACTTGCTTTGTACCCACTAGGGCATTAATAAGAAACTTTTAAGTGGTGGGCTGGCATTCGCTATGCTATTTTTTTGTCATTCTTCTGAGTAGCATGGTATCCGCTAAACACCTGCAAGAAATTTCGTGCCAGTTGTTCATAGAGTGGCTGACGACAATAAGGAATTATTGCTGAAGTGGGT